TCAGGACACCCTAGCAACCACCTAGCAACACCTTAGCAACCACCTAGCAACCACTCAAGACACCCTAGCAACCACCTAGCAACGCCTTAGTAACCACTCAGAACACCCTAGCAACCATCTAGCAACTACTTAGGACACCTTAGCAACCACCTAGCAACACCTTAGCAACCACCTAGCAACCACTCAGAACACCCTAGCAACCGCCTAGCAACACCTTAGCAACTACCTAGCAACCACTTAGGACACCCTAGCAACCCCCTAGCAACACCTTAGCAACCACCTAGCAACCACTTAGGACACCCTAGCAACCGCCTAGCAACACCTTAGCAACCACCTAGCAACACCTTAGCAACCACCTAGCAACCACTCAGGACACCTTAGCAACCACCTAGCAACACCTTAGCAACCACCTAGCAACCACTCAGAACACCCTAGCAACCGCCTAGAAACACCTTAGCAACCACCTAGCAACCACTCAGGACACCCTAGCAACCACCTAGCAACACCTTAGCAACCACTCAGAATACCCTAGCAACCACCTAGCAACCACTTAGGACACCTTAGCAACCACCTAGCAACACCTTAGCAACCACTCAGAACACCCTAGCAACCGCCTAGCAACACCATAGCAACCACCTAGCAACCACTCAGAATACCCTAGTGACCACCTTGCAACACCTTAGTAACCACTTAGCAACTAGTCAGAACACCTTAGCAACTGCCTAGCACCACCTTAGCAACCACCTAGCAACCACTCAAAACACCCTAGCAACCGTCTAGCAACACCCTAGCAACCACCTAGCAACTAGTCAGACCACCTTAGCAACTGCCTTGCACCACCTTAGCAACCACCTAGCAACCACTTAAAACACCCTAGCAACCGCCTAGTAAAATGCTAATTCATGCTAGAATCATGCTAACAACATGCTAATTCATGCTAGAATCATGCTAGTAACATGCTAATTTATGCTAGATTTATGCTAACAACATGCTAATTCATGCTAGAATCATGCTAGTAACATGCTAATTCATGCTAGAATCATGCTAACAACATGCTAATTCATGTAAGAATCATGCTACTAACATGCTAATTCATGCTAGAATTATCCTAGTAGCATGCTAATTCATGCTAGAATCATGCTAGTAACATGCTAATTCAACCACTTCAAACTTTCAGATTCGGCTTTTCAAGCCACCATAAAGTTTGTCCTCAAACTTTAATATCTAGTTCTTCTTCTTCTTTCTTCTGAGACTAATTTTAAAGTCTATCTCCTCCTAACCCTTTCAAGCTTCATACCTCAAACTTTCGTCAAACCTTCAAACTGGTCTGACTCGGGTTGCTATATCTTTTCCGACTGATCCGACTTTCGGTTTTCCGAAAAACGACCCGGAAAATTCCCAAAATTCCCATTGACTTAACATTGGGTCAAACTTTGTGACCTCATAACTCTGCATCAGACGTTCCTACAGACTTCTAACTGGGCTCATTTAACTCAGTCTAGCCAGCAGCCAATAACTGATGACCTTTAAACTTACTAGCCACTCCCTAGCAACCACTTTTGGCACCCTAGCAACTGTCCCATAGACTTCCATTGTAAAAGACTGCCATTGACTTAACATTGAGTCAACCTTTGTGAGCTCATAACTCTGCATCAGACTGTCCTACAGACTAGAGTCAGGCCTCATTCAACTCAGTCTAGTCAGCAGCCAATCACTGATGACCTTTAGACTTACTAGCCACTCCCTAGCAACCACTTATGGCACCCTAGCAACTGTCCCGTAGACTTCCATTCAAAAGACTCTCATTGACTTAACATGGGATCAAACTTTGTGAGCTCATAACTCTGCATCAGACTGTCATACAGACTAATGGCTGAGCTCAATTAACTCAGTCTAGCCAGCAGCCAATCACTGATGGCCTTTTAACTTTCTAGCCACACCCCTAACTACCACATACTGCACCCTAGCAACTGTCCCGTAGACTTCCATTACAAAAGACTCTCATTGACTTAACATGGGATCAAACTTTGTGACCTCATAACTCTGCATCAGACTGTCATAGAGACTAATGGCTGAGCTCATTTAACTCAGTCTAGCCAGCAGCCAATCACTGATGGCCTTTTAACTTTCTAGCCACACCCCTAACTACCACATACTGCACCCTAGCAACTGTCCTATAGAATGTAATTAGCTGTGCTATCAAATGCTTACATGCATATCTTTGCATAGCAGTGTCCTATTGACTTGGGGGATGGCTCATCTGACTCAGACAACCAATGAGCATCTCAATATGATAATAAAGCTCACAAGCCACGCCCCCAAATTGATTCCATAGACTTCCATTAAAATAGGCCAAGATGCATATCTTTGCATAGCAGTGTCATAGAGACACGGGGGTTGGTTCATTAGACTAAGACAACCAACCACATTCAAGTTAACTCTGTAACCTCGCCCATAGCAACAAAACAGAGTACCCTAGCAACCATTCATCAACAGCTATATCTCAGCATCAGAACATCGTAGAGACTTGGAGATTGGCTCGTTTGACTCATGCTAGCAAACGAAACTTCCTATATGCTACACATGCTAGCAGTGACTAGCTACATGCTAATATTGACTAGCCAAGTACTGTAACTTGCTAGAAATGCTTACTAAGTATAAATGTTTTATCAAGCATGTATGTGAGGCTTGCCTAGTAACCAACCAGGGTACCCTAGCAACTGCCTAGCAACCACCCAAATTACCCTAGCAACCGCCTAGCAACCACCTAGCAACGGCCTAGTAATGCCTTAGTAAGGGCCTAGCGACCACTCAGGACACCCTAGCAACCGCTTAGCAACCACTCAGAATACCTTAGCAACCACCTAGCAACACCTTAGCAACCACCTAGCAACCACTTGGGACACCTTAGCAACCACCTAGCAACACCTTAGCAACCACCTAGCAACCACTCAGAACACCCTAGCAACTGCCTAGCAACGCCTTAGCAACCACCTAGCAACCACTCAGGACACCCTAGCAACCACCTAGCAACACCTTAGCAACCACCTAGCAACCACTCAGGACACCCTAGCAACCACCTAGCAACGCCTTAGCAACCACTCAGAACACCCTAGCAACCATCTAGCAACCACTTAGGACACCTTAGCAACCACCTAGCAACACCTTAGCAACCACTCAGAACACCCTAGCAACCGCCTAGCAACACCTTAGCAACCACCTAGCAACCACTTAGGACACCCTAGCAACCGCCTAGCAACACCTTAGCAACCACCTAGCAACACCTTAGCAACCACCTAGCAACCACTCAGGACACCTTAGCAACCACCTAGCAACCACTCAGAACACCCTAGCAACCGCCTAGCAACACCTTAGCAACCACCTAGCAACCACTCAGGACACCTTAGCAACCACCTAGCAACACCTTAGCAACCACCTAGCAACCACTCAGAACACCCTAGCAACCGCCTAGCAACACCCTAGCAACCACCTAGCAACGCCTTAGCAACCACTCAGAATACCCTAGCAACCACCTAGCAACCACTTAGGACACCTTAGCAACCACCTAGCAACACCTTAGCAACCACTCAAAACACCCTAGCAACCGCCTAGCAACACCTTAGCAACCACCTAGCAACCACTCAGAATACCCTAGCGACCACCTTGCAACACCTTAGTAACCACTTAGCAACTAGTCAGAACACCTTAGCAACTGCCTAGCACCACCTTAGCAACCACCTAGCAACCCCTCAAAACACCCTAGCAACCGTCTAGCAACACCCTAGCAACCACCAAGCAAATAGTCAGACCACCTTAGCAACTGCCTTGCACCACCTTAGCAACCACCTAGCAACCACTTAAAACACCCTAGCAACCGCCTAGTAAAATGCTAATTCATGCTAGAATCATGCTAACAACATGCTAATTCATGCTAGAATCATGCTAGTAACATGCTAATTTATGCTAGATGTATGCAAACAACATGCTAATTCATGCTAGAATCATGCTAGTAACATGCTAATTCATGCTAGAATCATGCTAACAACATGCTAATTCATGTAAGAATCATGCTACTAACATGCTAATTCATGCTAGAATTATCCTAGTAGCATGCTAATTCATGCTAGAATCATGCTAGTAACATGTTAATTCATGCTAGAATCACGCTTACAACATGCTAATTCATGCTAGAATCATGCTAGTAACATGCTAATTCATGCTAGAATCATGCTAACAACATGCTAATTCATGTAAGAATCATGCTACTAACATGCTAATTCATGCTAGTAATATGTTAACTCAAGCTAAAATCATACTAACATTCTATTTACACTTTAAAACCACTTCAAACTTTCAGATTCGGCTTTTCAAGCCACCATAAAGTTTGTCCTCAAACTTTAATATCTAGTTTTTTTTTATTATTCACAACGTTTGTGAAGTCTAAATGTAGACTGTCTCAAACTGAATGAGTGTTATTTTTGTTGTAGGTGTGTTGGTGTAAAAATTGATGCTGACTGGTTAGTACTGCATTTTTAACCATAACAATAATGATTTATATTTAGCATTGCATCTATTGTCATTTTACCAAGAATGTGTTTGCTCTTTCAGAACTCAGGCAGTTGTGCTGGACCCTCTGTACCTTATACAGGAGATGACAGTAAACTTTCAAGTTTAAGAGGTAAAATGTTCAGGGTTTTTCTGTTTGATTTTGAGTGTTTTGTAGATATAATGTTCACTGATATATGATATAAGATTTGCTTTATGTTTATGTTGTCATTTTGGTTATAAGTACAAGGTACAGGTACATTTTCACAGCAATCTAAATTAAAATCTTAAATCTTACATTCAATCCAAACTGAATTTAAATTAATATGGACAAATTAAATAAAATACACCTGGGATTTTAAATGTTTTCATTTTTTTGTTATTTACAAAGTTTAAAGTTTAAAAGTAGACTACCTGCTGCATGTTTCAAACTGAATGAGTGTTATTTTTGTTGTAGGTGTGTTGGTGTAAAAAGTGATGCTGACTGGTCAGTACTGCATTTTTTAACCAAAAAAATAAACAATGATTTATATTTAGCATTGCATCTATTGTAATTTTACCAAGAATGTGTTTGCTCTTTCAGAACTCAGGCAGTTGTGTTGGACCCTCTGTACCTTATACAGGAGATGACGGTAAACTTTGAAGTTTAAGAGGTAAAATGTTCAGCATTTTTTCTGTTTGGTTTTAAGTGTTTTGTACATATAAGGTTCACTGATATTTTGCTTTGTTGACTTCCAGGTTCTGTAATTTTGGTTATAAGTACAAGGTACAGGTACATTTTCACAGCAATCTAAATAAAAATATTAAATCTTACGTTCAATCCAAACTAAATTTGAATTGATATAGACAAATGAAATAAAATACAGCTGGGGTTTTAAATGTTTTGATTTTTTTATTATTCACAAAGTATGTAAAGTATAAAAGTAGACTACGTTGCATGTTTCAAACTGAATGAGTGTTATTTTTGTTGTAGGTGTGTTGGTGTAAAAATTGATGCTGACTGGTCAGTACTTCATTTTTATAAATAATACAAAAAATAAAAATAAAAAAAGATTTATATTTAGCATTGCATCTATTGTCATTTTACCAAGAATGTGTTTGCTCTTTCAGAACTCGGGCAGTTGTGCTGGACCATCTGTACTTAGTACAGGGGATGACAGTAAACATTCAAGCTTAAGAGGTAAAATGGTCAGGGTTTTTTTTTGATATTGATGCTTTTATTTTTATTATTTGGCAAAACCAATTTCTTGTACCTATATTTTTACTAAGTATTTACATGAACACATTTTGCTTCAGTAATTTAGAATTTTGTTAACATGTATTCAAACTAAAAAGTACTGGGTTGATGTGGGTGTTTTATCTGGGTTTTTTAAGCTGCTACTGTAATCTGTTAAATAAACCAAGCAGTTATTTATTATTATTATTTATTTTTGCATCATTTGAAATGTTACAAGTTCTTTATTTTGGTAATGTCTACTTAAAGTGATAAGGAAATAACTGGTCCACTGCTGAATCTCTTTTCTTTTCTCTCTTAGCCACCTGATGATGAGAGAGACAATTTCAATGTGGGCATCTTGATGGTGAGCCAGGCCTTCATGCTAATTTTGTAACCGTTTAATCTATTTAGCGTCATTGTAATAACATTATTTCAGGATGCAAAACTGGCTAAAAATCAAATTTAAATTTCAACATTAATTGTATGATAGTGTGATTGATTTAACATTTTATTTAATGTTGGGTTCATTGTAAAAAAAAAAAAAAAAAGATTTAATTTTGGTTGAATAAATGCTGATTTTGGGACAGTTTTGTCTATTTATCATCATAGAATTACCATTATTTCAGGGTGGAAAACTGCCTAAAAATCAGTGGTGACTTTTTAACGTTGTTTCAATGATAGTTTGATTGATGTTTTAACATTTATTCAATGTTAATTTAACGTAGGTTTGCTCTCTGGGTAAGAACTAACTTAAAAAATGCGAAAAACTTATGTATGTGCCACTTGACTTTTGTATCACATGTTATTGGCATGTTATGGAATTTAACTATGGCAAATAAGTGAGAGGAGATGGAAAGCTATGATGTCTACACGTTTTCCTGAAACATTTTCAAGGTCAATTCTTTCTTGTATAAAGATAGTGGAAAAGAAAGAAATGTAAAACAAAATGGTTTGTCATTTTTTTAAATTTTGTTTTCTTTCCTTTATTGTTTTTTTTTTTTTGCCTTATTTTTGTTCTTGCACTATAATTATTTCTTGTAATATTTGATTAAGTAAATATATATATTTTAATTTCTTTTAAATTATGTAGCAGACATGTATTTGAATAATTTTACATAATAATTATAATATTTATAATATTATTTATAATATTAATAATTTAACATATAGGTGTGCATATATGTACCCGTATATGTACATGTAATATAGGAAAACAGCCAATTTTATATTTGTCACATATTTCAAAAACCTAAATCAAAACCTATATTAAACCATATGTTTATATAGGTTCTTTCCATGTGGACGTGTACAAGACCCAACACACAACTCACTTTTCTTTTTTTCAGAAGAAGAGTCCATAGTCACAATAACAAGATCATTGGGCTGTCCCCTAATTGTGGTGAGCTACATGTTTAGTCTCTTATGTGCTAAACATTATGTAGCCTAAGAAAGCAGCCCTGACTCTGGAGTTTATATGAAGGTCTGTTTTTACATTTTTAAGTTTATTTCATTTTTATAATACAAGTAAGTTGATACATGTTTGTTGTATTTACAACAGGAGCATGCTGAGTAACTATCCAGAATGTAGGTCCAAAGCAGAAAAAAGAGCACCAAGCAGAAACATACCATCTAAACTCCTTCGATTCCTGTCAGACCAGAAAGACTTTCAGAATCCTTGGAAGATTTAAAGGTAATTAAGCACACCAGTAATACTTTATAATAACTAAACACTATTGATTAATTTATTAAGCATTAGCAAAAAGTTCTGTTAAGCATTAACTCTACATTAATAGACCTTAGTATACAGTTTATAACTACAGCTGCAAATGCTGTAATCTTGACTTATAAGCACATCTATAATATGCTTAATGATTTTGTTTTTATATTTTGTTAATGATTAATTTTTCATTACTAAATTTAGTATAGCATTATTTACAAACCAGTGATTTAAGAATAGTTGGTGTATTTTTTTTCTAATCATTCAGAATGTGTAAGTAAATGGTTAATAAACTATTCAAACTAACATTTATATATCTTATTATTCAGGCATATAGTAATAGTTAGGCAGCACAGTGGCTAGCACTGTTGCCTCACAGCAAATAGAGCTCTGGGTGCTTAGGTTTCCCCCACAGTCCAAAGACATAAGCTATAGGGAAATTGATTAACTAAATTGGCTGTAGTGTATGAGTGTGTTTGTAAATAAGTGTGTATGGGTGTTTCCAAGGGCGTACTCATGCTATGCACATTTTCTTTTAAACTGGAAGCGTGCTTGTCTCCCCCGACGACCTGCACTCACATTTCATTCGAGCCTGAGCATGCTTACATCATCAATAACGCACTGTTCAGTTTAACAAGTGCTCTCACTCAGCACAGTGGAGATTTCTTTATATTGTTATATCGTTTTAGTTGTTCAATATGCAGTGACACGCAGTCAAATATTTCGCCGAACAGATCAGCCACTTTTGACGCTCATAAACAATCAAAGTCAACGTGCTGCAGGTACTAGGAGGTTTGCTAAAGGTGCAGCTGTTGTGCAGTGAGGGGTTTGTGTCTTTAATCTATGACAGTTTGCAAGGGACTTTGATTTGGATAAATTAATCACTATTACTGTTCAATGAACGCAAACCCCTTACTGCACCACAGCTGCGCCTTTAGCAAACCTCCTATTCCTGCAGCACAAGGAATTTATGATTGTTTATTAACATCAAAAGTGGCTGATCTGTTCGGCGAAATATTTGACAGCGTGTTACTGCATCCCAAATGACTAAAACAATATAACTAAAGAATTCTCCTCCGTGCTGAGAGCACTTCCTAAACTAAACAGCGCATCATCGATGATGTAAGAGTGCTCAGGCTCGAATGCAATGTGAGTGTGGGACGTCAGGGGAGACGGGAGGGAAGACAAGAGTGCTTCGGCCTGGTTTAAGGCAACTATACATAGTGTGAGTACACACTAAGCTGAAGGAAAATACATGAATGAATTGTAATAGTTATATTTGTAAATAAAGTACAAAAAATAAGTATATAAAGTATATACAATATTTATTTTAATAAGTGATTTTGTACTTTTTTACTTCATCCAGTTTTGTAGCCTAAAGTGAGGATTGTTTATGCTTTGTAAATCCCCTTATAAATCACAATTAAAGATTCAGTTATATTCTAAAAATGAAATTCATTTTATTGTATTAAATGAAAAATAAATCTTATCTAAAATAAAATTACTGTACAGTTAAAACATAGCTAAATAACACTGAAATGTTGCATCGTAATATCATTAAATTATTTTAGTGTTGTTTTATCCAGTTTTATGTTATATTTTGGCACTCCAGCTATTCAGCAAGGTTTCATATTTACAGTAATTACATTATTTAGATAAGACTGTTTAGATAAGAATGTTCATTTGATACTGAGCCTTTAACTGTCGTTTATAAGGATTTATAAATCATAAATAATCCTCACAGATTAGGCCACAACTGGAAGAAGTTTTGTAAATAATGCAATATTAAATATAATATTATATATATATATATATATATATATATATATATATATATATATATATATATATATAGTAATGTAAAATCAATCATTAAAGTTTGATAACACAATTATTAAACTGTAGCTGTAGCAAATTTTGCAACTGTATTTATAACCGACTGCTAACATCTATTAATTTAGAGTCAATGCTTAACAGATAATGAATTCACTATTTGCTAATGCTTCATAAATGAATCATAGCCTGTAGTTATTATAGTGTTACCAGCATAGTTTGTTTATATTACTGTTTCTCTCTTGCATTATTGTTCCGAATATTGTCAAAAGTTTGACACTTTATTTTGAAAAATCTTAAAGTGATTTCTCACCCAAAACTGAATAATTGATAATTCATAATTTACTCACTCTTGACATTTTAAACCTGTATGACTTTGTTTCCTCTGCAAAACACAAAATATCATATTTAAAGAATGTTGCTCCTATTTCTCCTACTTTGTTCTGTGGAAGTATGTCAGTCAGACAGGCTTGAAATTACAAGAGTGAGACAAGAAGATGATGATAAAACTTCCATTTGTGTAAACTATTGACATGCAAGGAATCACCCCAGTTGTAAGTGGAATGTCATTAGTAATGTTTTTTTTTTTTTTTTTTTTTTTTTACAGCCATTGAAGTATCAGTATTGGAGCGGAAGAAGACCCAGTTGTATCGTCTGTTTCCTGCCATCTTGCAGTTTAACCTGGTTTCTTAATGTAAAGTACTTGTAATTTGCCCACTTGTCCTCAATTATCTTAAAGCTAACATTTAAAACTAATTTGCTATGAGATTATTTGCCAAGACCTCTCACTGTGTGATTCACATGTCAATATGTATTATTGTGTGTATAACTAGCTATTTGGAATTCAAATGATTTGTATTCATTAAAGAATCTGTTTTAATTGCAAAGTTGTTTTTGTACTAATTGTAAGTTCACAGTTAACAAACTATTTACTGCTTCTTTACACATACAGTATAGAATAAATGTTTTTTTTTACTATGGTAAACCATTAATAGTGTATTTCCCATATGTATATGTTTATCCTTACCAACTGCCATTTCTATGCTGCTTGAAGAGCATTAAATTAGTAAAATAATAATTTTTTTACAGTAGGTATCCCATTAAAACAAAGAATCTGTTCATTTTTTCACTGTGTATATATACTATTAAAAAACAAAAAAGTCCTCTTTTTACAGTAGGTATACTATTAAAACACATAATCTGTCTGTTTTTTTTACAGTAGGTATACTATTAAAACACAGAATCTGTCTGTTTTTTTACAGTAGGTATACTATTAAAACACAGAATCTGTCTGTTTTTTTACAATAGGTATACTATTAAAACACAAAATATTTCCGCTTTTTTACTGTTGGTATACCCTTAAAAACACAGAAAATAACCGTTTTTTTATATAGAAAACCCTTAAATTACTATAAAATGTTTCGTTATTTTACAGTAGTTTAACCGTCAAAAAACGGATATTTTTTAGTTTTTTTAATGTGGACACACTGTCAATTAACAGAAGTTTTCCGTTTTTAATTTACGGTAAAATATTTGTGTAATGAGCTGCCAGTACATTTTACCGTTTTTTTACGGAATTTTTTTTTAGAGTGTACCTCTATTCATGCTTGTCTTTACCATACCAGACACTTCTAGCAATAATTCCCTCTGTCAGTCTACTCTCCGGACCAAAGGGTCATGCAGATCTTTTGGTGTGGGGCTGAAATAACGTGTGCTGTGATGCAGGACAGGACACCGGCAAGCAGCATCAGACAGACAAGCCAATTAGAATCAAGCATTTCCTGTCTCTAGGCAACCCTGGCATTGAGCATGACCCGAACTGGCCAATTACAATTTATCTCCCTGTCCCACTGACACTTTGATGTTCAACAAATATATAATGACTTCCTCTGAAAGACATTTAGCCTCCACATCTTCTCAACACCATTACGGAGCGAGTTTTGAAAGGAAATAGCTATATTGGGTAACATTGTTTGGATTATGATGAGAAGGTTCCTAAGCAGGTTTCTGATCCCAAAACTATTTTAAGAGTCTTATTTAACAGCAAAACCCTTGCCAAGCAATAGGCAATGATATTTGGTGCTTAATCTTTGAGGTAAGCCAAAAACATTCAATCCATTCAGGAGACTGAACTGAAAAGTTTCATGCTTTATCATGTATATTGGATTATATCTTACACAGAAAGAAGGTGAAGACAGTAAAGGATGGTGCTTTGTCCACCAAAAACTGTAGAAGCTTTAAATTCCACAAATGTTCTTTAAAGTTCACAATGATTCTTTAAATTAATCCTAAATTCTTGGCTCTGTGGAAAAAAAATCTGGTTCTTTAAGAAATGCTTCACTACAACGTTCTCCGGGGAACCAAAATGGTTCTTATATGGCAAGCTTTGTTTTAAAGAATGAATATATATATCTCATGATGAAAGCAGTGGTGGGGGTGGGGTGAGGATTTAGATGAGGAGGTTTGGCTGAGCAGTTTAAAGTCCCCTTAAGCAAAAAACGTGATTGAGTCTGACCTTGCATAAAATGAGCATGAGCACCATGCTCTGAGTGATAGAGTTAGTGTGAACAACAGGTAAAGGGATTAGTACAATGTAAGCTTTAACATTCTTTTGTGTTTACTACTACATATAGCCAATAGGGGGCGATGTGGAGGTGTTCCCTTACTGTAGCAAGAGACCCCTCCTGCACTGGTGTTTCAACACATTAATATCATCAGTGATTAGACGTAACGTCTGTTTTAACACTGATGATACATTTTTAGACTAAAAGAATAGAAAGAACTTCTGAACAGAAAGTGGACCCTAAAAATCTGCATGAAGGTAAAGATGCTGTAACGCCATCAAACTAAACTAGTAAGTTCCGTAATAGAAGGAAGAATTAAGTTTAAACCACTTAAGAAGGACCTCAAACTTCACTGGCAAAGTACACAAAAAATAAAAATACTCACTTTATGTCATTCTGGACACTCTGGACATTCTGTGAAACACAAAACAATACATTTCTAAAAAGTGTTTTTTTTGATAAGTTAGTTGTTCAAATTATTCAGAACAAATAAATAATACAGGTTTAGAACAACATGAGAGTGAAAGAACATTGACAGAATGTTCATCTTTTTAGAAGAACTAAATTACTGATTAAAGCTGTGCTCAGACTACATCTCAAATTTCAATTCTTTCATTTAGGGCATCATGGTGGCGCAGTGGGTAGCACAATTGCCTCATGGCAAGAAGGTCACTGCTTTGAGCCCCGGCTGGGTCAGTTGGCATTTCAGTGTGTAGTTTGCATGTTCTACCCATGTTGGTGTTAGTTTCCTCCGGGTGCTCTGGTTTTCTCTCACAGTTCAAAGACATGCACTATAGGTGAATTTAATAAGCTAAATTGTAAGTAGTGCATGTGTGTGAATGCAAGAGTGTATGGGTGTTTCGCAGTGTTGGGTTGTGGCTGGAAAGGCATCTTCTGCGTAAAACATATGCTGGATAGGTTGGCAGTTCATTCCACTGTGGCGACTCCTGATTAATAAAGGGACTAAGCTGAAAGGAAATTATTGAATGAATTCTTTCATTTGGAAGATGCTTTTATCAATACTGATTTGATGAGGACAAGTTACATAGTGCAAGTGCATCACACACTGCAAGATTTTATCATTAGTTAATCCCACTTAAAGTAAGGTTTTCTATCTATTTTGAAATGTTAAATAATTTAGGAAATTAGCCATGGCACCTTTAATAAAATCTACTGTAGTTTTGATATATTTACCTTCCACTCTTAATGATATTTTGTTTCTGGCCTTTTATACAAAAAAGTTTGGGCACCCCTGTGCTAGTGTTTCCGTTCATTCTTACAGTACATTTTCCCAGACATGTCATATAAGCAGTCATGGACTGAATTTAGTCACAAGTCACAAAAACAGTACGGTATCAAAAGTTCTGATTGTATGATGCAAGTAAGAGATTCCTTTCACAGCTTCAGTGATTATAACAAGTTTCTGCATAATTTGACCTTTATGTCACTGGCTTGGCATAATGTTTGTGATTTTCTATAACTGTTAATATACAACTATATACTACAACTATTCATATAATATTGCATTTTTTTATAATATTGCAGCCTTGTCGATTCCTCTTTTTAAATAAAATTTATTTGCCGTTTTAGACAATTTTTTGTCATTAATAACAATTTATAATAATCTGATTAAAGTAAACATTATTAGTCATATTAACATATTTGACATGAAAGATAGTTCAAAAATAATTGGTTAGATAGTTATAAAATAATAAAAAAAAAATCCCTGTGTAAGTGTGTGTGGTTGTATATGAGATATACATGTAAATATATATATTTAATTTAAATATATATGTTTGTGTGACAAAGATAAATGGGGTTTAGAAAGAGATGCAACGCCTCAACTGCACCCAACCCTCCGACACCGATCACTAGAATGATTTGAGTGACATGAAGAACGAATGTATGTCAATCAACACCTAAAGCTGCCTAATGCAGAACACAGGAAAAGGCTTCACACACAAACAGATTCGGGAGCCGCTGATGAATGCCTTGAGTTGTTTAAACTTAGTAATGACCATATTATGCAAATAGAGACAGCTGTGAGGACAGAAGCATACCGATTTCTAGATCAGCAGCCTATTGTTTATCTACTTCCTCGACAAGCATCCACTTTAACAAGCATAATGGAGCTTAGATTCACATCAATAACTCTTGTTAGGAGCATAATGATGCTGATGAGCAGAGATTGGTTCGTCTGTTTAGTTTTGATTAAAAACAGAATCGAGATACCTACGAGTAAACACCCACACACACTGCATTGGACTCTGATGGTGTGAAGCGCTCTTCTAGGGATGATGGTAGGCTTACTTGCCTTCTTTTAGCAAGGACATGCTATAGCAAGGTCAGCAGGTAAATAAACCAGTCTGCTCTAATTATAGAAACTACACTCTGCCCTTCGAGATGTAGAAAGATGGTGGATGGAGGAGAAATAGACTTACGGAGAATAAGACACATAGTGAAGAAAACAGAAGTCAAGAAGCACCGAAGAGCCAATGACAGTGACCTCAGGAAGTCAGAAAGAAAATGTATGGTAGAGTTACAAGAAACTTAGATATTGGAACAGCATTCTAGCTGTTTGCGTTATGAAAGCCAATAAGATCCTAAATATTTAAGCTCCAATGGACACTTTTCACATTTCTGGGTTTCTCAGCAGTGGAAGTCATCACAGCTGGGTAAACTTAGAGTGCACTGAATGGGAGAATACCACCAATAATTTTTTTTTACATATTTGTGAAAATAATAAAAGAAAAACTCCACAATGGCTTTATCAAGACTTTCAGAAAAAAGTAAAAAATAATTAAAAAAAAAATTGAATGAGACTGAAAACAGCAGCCAGAGTCAAATTTACTGTCCTGCCTCCATAGACACTGCATTAGAAACACCTCACATAAGTGGTAGTTTTTTTGTAATTTGATGTAATGTAAATGCATTCATACATTAAAAAAAAATCTAAATAATTAAATTCAATTCAAATCAATTCAAATAGAAAACAAATCGCAAGGATTTATGATGCTGATGACCGGTAAATGTGTCATAACAGTCTTTTGAAAAGGGTCTATTGAGACTTAAAACTGGTGTCAAATGTATTCACATAAATATAGAAAAAATTGTCAATTCAACAATATGTAAACTGGTCTTTACACATAGGCTAGGACAAGTGTGCCAAGTCTTACTTCTGGAGAGCTACTGTCTTGAACAGTTCAGCTCCCACAATAATGAAACATGCTTTACCAGCTAATCAACTTCATGACAAGTGTACTGTAGCAAGCTGGAATCACTTTACAACTCTACAGAATAGTGGCCTCTAGGA